ATCAGTAGTCTTGTGTTTTATTTATTTTATCTTTTGGGTAGATATCATCTTTCACCGTTTGGTCGAAAATACCTAATGGGCATTTTGACGGGGAATAGATTTTCCTCTATTGAAAAGAAAAAGGCGGGAGTTTTTGGAGTATTTTTTTTACGGGTGCTTGGGTGTTACAAAATTTCCTGGTGAAAAGAAACAGTGTTAGTGAATATGTTCCATGTATTTAGAAATTGTGACAAAATTGTAAAGTCAAAAAAAAAAGAAAAACCTAATTAAAACATTATTATATTTATTGTTCAAGTTAAACGATGAACAAAAGTTTTGTATAATCGCGGCTATTAAATAAAAATCGATTTTTTTTTTTTTTTATATACTGTATATACAGTGTGGAACAAAAATAATTGTGAAAAAATCAAAACTCTTATTTTTATTAATTAAATAGACAGGTGTGAATTTGGAAATATAAAGAATAGAAAAACATAAAAAAGTTTTTAAATATATTAAAATAATATAATTAAAAAGAGAACAATTTAAATTCTTAATTTTTTTGTCAATTACAAAAAAACCATAATATCAATTATTAAAATTACTTCAATATATTGTATAAATTAATTAAATATAAATTAATAAAACTTTATAATAGTTTTATTATAATTTTTTTTAGCTTAATATTAAGTTATTTACTTTTGATAAAGTTTAACAAAAAAATTTTTTTAATAGTAAGATATTTTTATTATTATATTATAAAAAAGATATAATTATTTTATTAATAATTACATGATAATTTTTTTATAGTTAAAATCAATATATATAAAAATTTTTTTTATTAATGTTAAAATATAAAAAATTAATTATAAAAATTAAATTTTATTTATAAAATTTTTTTTATAAATTATTAATTAATTATTAAAAAAAATCATATGATAATTAATTAATTTTTTAATAAAATATATTTATTATTAAATTATTATTTATTAAATTAATATAAAAAGTAAGTAGCTTAATATTAAGCTAAAAAAAAATTTTTTTAAATTATTATAAAAATATGACTTTTGATTTCTTTCAATTATTTTTGTTCCAAACTGTATTTTTAAAGATAAATTAATTATTAAGAACAGTTTATAAATTATCAATGATTCAAAATTAACTTTAAATATTGTAATACAAATAGCTGAATCTCGTGGAGAACAATATCTTGCCGGGTCCTATATTAATTGTGATAAGCAATATAAATGGTTTGCAAATCTTAAAATATAAAAAATAATCGAAGATGATGTCCACGATGTTCAAAGGTAGGTCGATATACTCTTAAAGAGTAAAACAATTTATTCCGACTAAAAATGGAGAATGCCTTTCTTTTTTATTGAAAGGGTTAGTAAGTTTTAATTTCAGATTTATTATCTTTATAGCTAATATAATATCACAATAAGTAATTCTTGTACAATTTGTGTTTCAATGCTCCTTTATAAAATGACGAAATCCACACTCATATCCATGTCCTATTTTAGAATACAGCATGATTAAGATCACCTTTATATACTGTAAATACACCGTCTTTCTTGCGATAAGATAATGTTTTTTATTACCAATCAAGCGATTATTATTCTTATAATTCATCAACTGATTCCAATTTTGTTTCGTCCAATCGGATGAAGTTTCACCCTTATGAATTACTAGAAATTGACAATTATCTTTCCATTCAGTATCGCTCAAACTGGGCAATTGTCTGTGTAAAGCATATTTGACGATTAAGAGACTTTGTGTTTTAGAGATTATGCAATTTATATCGAATCTAAGGATTTGGACCTATTAGATTTAATACCTATGTACATTATACAGTAAATATGCGATTCAATTTTAGTCCAAATTGGTTATTAGATGAGTCTTATACTGTATATTCGTTATATTTTGCGGAAATATTATTATCTTTAGATATACGATGAGAATGGGAGAGATGCATATTGGGTTGTAGTGAGAATTGTAGTTTAGCGTTGATTCTAAAGAATCTTTTTGTGGCGATATTCATCTATAAATCGCCAATTACCCGGTGTGACTATACGACTTAATACTCTATTATATACTCGATAAATAACGCGTAACGATTATCCGAAAAAATGAAAAAATCGAAATCAGTAGTCTATGCTTTACTATTTGAATTGAATTTTGATAATTCTTATAGCAATTGATACGATAAGTTTTTGTATTAACATAATCGCCACTACCCCATTCGCCTTTTATATTATCTCTTATATTTGGTCTCTATTACACATGGGACATAATTTTTAACAAGTAAAGTATGGTTATCTACGACACACACGTGTCGTGATGACGCAGTAATGTGACGCGTCAAAAATAGTTTGTGTAACGTTAATTATGGAAATCTGATAAATTTTCACTCTGAACACGCATCTACCGCGGATCTTTCGAGTATAACGTAAAAAAATAAGGTTAATCCGTATCCTCGTAGCTCTTTGAACTCTCTGGCAGGGTTCACAGTCACGCGTATCCCTACTGTCGTTAGGCCATACCGTCCTACGTTCAGATGTTTGGAGGCAGTCTGTTGGGCTGTCCTTAGGCATACGTGTTTAAGGCCCGAATCCTGACATGCTGTTTTCCAGGATGCGTTCACTATACCTACTGTCGTTAGGCCATACCGTCCTACGTTCAGATGTTTGGAGGCAGTCTGTTGGGCTGTCCTTAAACATACGTGTTTAAGGCCCGAATCCTGACATGCTGTTTTCCAGTATACAGTTGGCTGTGGCGTTGCCACATTTCTTTCATGAGAACGGATAAACGACTAACAATTGCATAATTTTTTTAGATGTTTGAATCCATCATGACAGAGTATCTTGATAAAACGAAAAGCAAAGATTGGACGATTCTCGGAATTTTAAAATTCGCGCGATCGAAATCCAGTTTATCTGTGGCTACAATCAACGATTTTAAAGAAGAGTTATATGCAATATTACAAAGCTATCATGACAAATGCAACATTCACATAAACTCTAAAAACAAGGCGACAAAGATTTTATCTAATTTTAACTCGTTATTCTCCACCGCTGAAGTGAGGCAATTCATCAAAGATCTTGAGTATCACGAGGAAGCGCGAATAAACGTGACATCAACTTACACTGCCACAGTATTAAGGGTAAATTTTATGAAAATTCAAATCATTGTTCACAATAGACCAATAACCTTACCAAAAAAATTTTTAGGATCAACAAGAAAACCAAATACTTATTGATCAATTACGAGAAACATTCAATTCGGAAAAGGGAAAGGAGCGTGAAAAAAGCATTAGACCACTTGATGTAGAAGATGATGACCATTCGTACAAACGTCAATGTAAAGACGAAGGACTATCAGATTTGATCGAGGTACTTATATTTGCTTTAATTTTTAGC